CCTTCTGGATGGTAGTGTCTAAAGCCAACACTCTCCCACACACCACACCCAACCCACTCACACGCGCACTCACACCCTTGTTGGCTGAAGACCTTACCGATACGGACTCGGAGGATGCAGCTGACTATCTCAGTTGGTTGGCACCAAGAGTGCCACAGGCAGCCATGGGGATTGAACCCACATTGTCAACCTCCTGAATGCCACTTGTGTGCCTAAAGAATTGAGCTAAGCCCCTGGATGGAGCCCAGATTCTTCAATCGCTGGAGGAAAAACAAAGAAAGAAAAAAAACTGAAAAACGAATAGCAAGCTCCTGTTAGTGAGGGATGTACTACCCCAAACGCGGCTAGGGAAAATAGCATTTCGAGCTCTAAACTACTAGCAGTGTATCTACCTGTGTTCTACCAGAAGATTCATGCTCATGTTGCACATTTGATCAGTAGTGGAGCAAGGCCCTCCATCTTCACAGCTCTCGGGGCAAAGGTAAGCTCATTTTTTCTTCTTTTTTTTCCCGAAAGTCAATACGGGCAAAGGTAAGCTCATTTTTTCTTCTTTTTTTTCCCGAAAGTCAATACGTTTTTTTTTCCCTTTTCTTTTCTTAGTAAGCCATGCCAACGAGGCAGGGCAGTCCGTTCTAGATTTCGTTATTCTGCTGTTCCTTACTTGGGCGTAGTAAACAGCAGAATGCTTTGATACTGTATTTCTGGGAAGATGCAGTAGAAGAGAAAAAAAACAAAAGCGGAAACCACCCAGACCCAAATCGCCCGCCCCGACCCATATCGCCTGCCGCCAGTTTGCAACGGGGAAAAACTATATCCCTCAAAAGGGAAACAATGGACGGCGCCCTATACTAAGGGCCTCCTTAGACCCTCCTTGGAAAATCCTCAGGAATTAGGATGAGGTCCTTGGAAATTTTTCCGGTTTTCGGTGTGGTCGCTACACCGCGTCCGAATTCAATGGGTCCCAAGGAAAAACCTCGGACCCCGCGGCTGATTTCAAACGCATATACGCGGCCACGGGGCTGGTTGTCCATCGGCGCGGTGGGATGTCTGTGAGTCCTCAGGCGTGGTCCAGTGGCGGCGACAGGGAGGCCTCCTGGGGTTGGGGAAAAAAAAAGGCGCGAACATCCCAGTTCGAATTTCGAATTTCGAACCCTTCGCTGAAACGCATCCACGCCCGAGGTATCCAGACCGGTGCAGCGCACTGGAGCGAAACATCTGTGGAGGAGTGCTGGCGGCCATCGCTTAGTACGCCGGCATTTGAAGGAACGACCAAAATGGACATCAAACGCCTGACCCCCTGGCTGTACATGGACCTACCTTGAGACCAGGTACCTCCAGGCAGTCCTTTTAGAGAAGGCCTTACTACCTGGTAGGCTGAAGTTCGTTTTTTTTTTTTTTTTTAAATTGAAGATGAAGAGAAGGAGAGAAGAACAAAGGACTTGTCAATGACTGAAAAGAGAATATTATATGCTAAGAGAGATCAAGAACGAGGACTGCGGACGGCACAGCATGGCCGAGAGGGCAGTGCCACCGGCTGTTCGTAGCAATACTTGGGCAGGCTTGGAATGGAAGGTGGTCGGTCGTGGCTACCGGGCAGGGCTCGGGGCGCTCTTTGAAATCGGTGGAAGCGAGCGAAGGCGGGAGTAGGCGACGATGGCATCGAGCCATGAGGGAGAAGTTGTCTTGTTTTCCCTTCTACAAGCCTACATGCTGGAGGGAGGAGGCTTTTTTTTTTTTTTTTTTTTTTTTTTTTGAGAGAGAGAAAGAGAGAGGCGTTTTCTCTTGCTCGGGGCCAAGTAATGAAAGCGATAATAGCACAAACGAACGGCAAAGCCGAACGTTGCAACACATGCATCCCACAGAAGACGGGGGGAGAATAGACGGACAAGAGATAGTAACCCTGAGCGCAACGGCTCTTGTAGTATTCAATGAAGAGCCGACACGCTGACAATCGAATCGAAAGTAGGTGACACCGCATAGATGCCACCATAGTCGAAGTAACCACTGGCGAAACACCCGACACATGTTTCTGCCGGCTCGCCAGCAACCGGCTCCTCGGGGCCAAGCTCTCGACATCAGTCACATCACAGGTTGATGCGGGTAGGGAGGGCAAGGTTCGCTTGGTGGCGATTCTTTTCTTTCTTTCTTTTTTTTTTTTTTTTTTTTTTTTTTTTTGAACAAGAAACGACCCGAGTTGATGCTAGGGGTGCTGGTACCGCTATTTGTGGTGCATTCTTTGGGCTTCACGCGACCTTCTGAGGTACGATGGCTGTGTGAGCGTCAGCTTGGGGCGAAGCGGTGCTCCGCGAAGTGAGAGGAGGTTGGTAGAAGGGGCGCAAGCATCTATGGCAGATCGAATCGAGGTGAAAAGGCCTGTAAAGGGGAGGCATGGACATTGGGGGTACATGTTTGCATCAGCATGGTGTGGTTCTTGAAGCCAGGCAGATCGAAGATGGCATGTTCGTGTCTTCTGCACCCATACTGTTTGAGGTGGTAGGCTTAATATTTTTGGCTTTCGGGTTATCAATAATAAAGTAAGCATTAATAATTTAATATGTTTTGATATATTTGCTATCAATAATCAACCAGGAAGTGAGAGGTTACTCATCATTCGTTCTTCCTCAGCTACTTTCGGAGCTTCCAAAATTCTTATTTCTTCTAAATTCTTATTTCTTCTAAATTCCTAATTCTTAATTCCTAAAATCCTTATTGAAGTTAGTGCTATATTTATAAACCTCAAATTTCCATAGCACTTATCTTTTCTTTTCCCCTTCACTGTCGTGATTTCTATAATATAATTTTATTTGTAGTAACTTGTATCTGCCATTAATTTCTTTCTCCTTAAGTACAGTCGTAGTAGTAGACTGCTCATAAGATCCCCTGACATTCTAATTCCCATGATTTTGTCCATAGAAATTCTGGATTTGTAGCATGGCAGCCGCGGACAACCAAACCGGACAAAGTCCGGACACCGGACTCCAGAATTCCCGGGAGTTCCCGGTTTGACCCGAACGTCCGGTTTTCAGGTAATTTCCGTTTAGTCCGGACATGTCTGGAATTGCATGTCCGGAATAAAAAAAAAAAAAAAAAAAAAAAAAAAAAAAAAAAAAGAAAGAAAAAAAAAAAAAAAGAAAGAAAGAAAGTTTTCTTGTCTGAGTCTGTGTCTCCTTTAGGCAGCCTACAGACGAAGAAGACCGCAGAATGGCATCTACACGTCCTTTAGGCATCAACGAATGTCATCTGAGTCTGTGTCTGTCTCTCTCCTTCTCCTTTTGTCTGTCTCTGTCTCCCTCAGTCAATCAATCAAATGGAATTAATCAATCAATCAAGCAAGCAAGCAAGCAAGCAATCAGTCAATCAATCAATCAATCAAAAATTTGACAGCATGTCCCCACCCCCCATGGGGTAGACATTATCCACAACAGAAGTCCGAATCATGACATGCAGTCCTATCATAACAGAACAGTTACTTCGAATAAAAAACTTGACAGCATTTCCCCACCCCCCATGGGGT